TATATATATATTAGATGCACTTATTTACTGCATATAATATTTATTTTTAACATGCACACTGCTTTTGTAGGTTTATGCTTGCATAAATCATTAGTGTGTGGTTAAATACACACTTGTTAAATATGTTTCATATAAACAAACAAACAAACAAAAAAACTACAGCCGTGTTCTTCGGAGAAATGTTGATGTTGTGTTTGTTTTGTTGGGGCTGCAGTGACGGCCCAGCCTCACCAGAGCACTGCTTGACTCAAAGAGCCCTTTGTTTTCTGCCTGTTGTTCTAATCAACAAAGTGCTAAGGAGCGTACAGACACTATTATGACACAACTTTGACACCATATCAGACGTTGTGGAAAATAACTTCACTTTGGCAGGAGAGAAATACCAGTTATTAATCCAGTGTTTATTTAAATGCACTCATAGGCTGCTTCAACAACAGCACACTGCTGTATAAACATTGAAATAAATCAGCTGTACAAGCTGATATATCTTTTTGAAGCAAGCGTGTGGTTAAAAGTTTGCATACCTCACGTGGTCCCCGAAATGTCTTGGTAAAAGGGCATCTAAGGACACTTGGATCTTAATCATCTTTGTTGTTTTAGTTAAAACAGTGATCAGAAGCACATGGTAGTTGACTGAATTAGACATAAACCAATGTTTGGTTTAGCACATTTTGAGTCGGTTACTCTCCACTGTCATCTTCTCTCAGATAATCATCTCATGCAGGATGTAACTGCATCAAATAACAATCTATTTTATATTTATTCAGGAGATGACACGTTTACTATCCAGCACAATAGCAATGGGAAGTGCCTCCTGGTCCAGGATGGAGCCTTGAAGTTGGGAGACTGTTCGTCAGTGCCGGCCGTGTCGTGGAAGTGGGGTTCGACCCACAGGCTGTTCCACGTAGAATCGTCCATGTGTCTGGGCCTGGAGGTGCGCTCCAAAGTGGTGACCCTGTTCAGCTGCGACTCCAATGAGATTCTGCACTGGAAGTGCTACGAGGACATCATCTACACAGAATACCAAATGAAACTCAGCGTCGGGACTAACGACTCTGTCACTGCCAAGAGGGACGGACAGGACACTTGGAAAAGAGGAGGGAGCTCGGAAAACATCTGTCAGCAGCCGTATCGAAGTAGGACACTGTCACTTTTGTACATACTTATTTAGAGGTGCTGTAGCCTAATGGATCACACTCTGGGCAGGTGGCTGAATGGTTATAGGTTCACACCCCAGAAGAGGTGATGCATTAACCAATGTACCTTTGAGAAAGGTTGTCTAGGGTTATTGTCCTCATAATACGTCCCTTTAGATAAAGGTGTCTGCTAAAAGTTGACGCCTGTTGCTCACAAAAGTGTTTTCTTGACCTGGCAAGCTCTAATCTGATTGGCTGACACTACACAACTTCTGGGAGTGAAGGCATGCAGGGTATTTTCCTAGAATATATATATATTATTTTATGCAAAAATAAGAAGATTTCCTGTCACTACACTGATACTTGAAGAAGGTACATTCTGCACACACATTTCTGTGTTTGTTGTAGTGTGGTTTACTTTGTGTTGCACTTGCACCAATTGCAAGGGGGTTGCTTTGCTGTGGTTTAACAAACCCAGTTCATCTGCTTTCTGTTGATCTGCCCTGCAGGAAGAGCTTTGAGTTTCGCTGTTGTTTTATGTGACTGTAGCAATACAAAAATGGAGTTTATGGGAAACTCCACCTGCTCATACAGGTTAATTACACAACGATTGCTTCATATCTGACAGTAAACGACTTGCGATATTACTTTCTGTTTTTCTTTTGTCTAACATTAGTTTCTCTGTGAATTTGCACATTCTCAGGTGGAAAACATTTTTAAAAATGTTGCTTGGGATTTATTTTTTTTGTCACATGGGCTACATTCACACAGCTGCAGAATGTGGTTGTCATTTCTGATAAATCTTTTTTTTGTTTTTACCTTTCAATATGTTCCCGTTTTTAGCTAAAATATAAAAAAGTTTAAATTTATATTAAATTTATATTAAAAGTTATCATTCAAAACGTTAAACAGTAATTTGAAATATTATTACAATTTAAAGTAATTGTATTTCGGTTTAAATTTTTTGTAACATTATGAATGTCTTTATAGTCACTTTCTTTTAAAGTGAAAATTAAGTGACTTGACGTGTAGCCAAGTATGGTGTCCCATACTCAGAATTTGTGCTCTGCATTTATCCCATCTAAGTGCACACGCACAGCAGTGGGTAGTGAACACACACACACCCGGAGCAGTGGGCAGCCATGTGTGCGGCGCCCGGAGAGCAGTTGGGGGTTCGGTGCCTTGCTCAAGGGTCTCACCTCATTTCTCGTGTTGAAGGTGGAAGAGAGTCCCTCCACTCCACCTACAATCCCTGCCAGTATCGAGACTCGAACCTGTGATCTTTGGGTTACAAGTCCGACTCTCTAACCATTAGGCCAAAAATGATCAATTTAATACATCCTTGCTGAATACAAATATGAATTTCTTTCCAAAAAAAAAAAAGAAAAAAAATCATACTGCCCCAAACTATAGAATGGTGGTGTATCTTTTTTTTTTTTTACTTTTAATTTTATATTTTTTATGTTTATGTAATTTGATATAATTTATATTTTTGCAAAAAAAAAAAAAAAAAAAGATTTTTAAATGATTGTTCCTTTTCTTTATCCTGGACACTCTTATTTGTTATTGACCAATTTACTTTTGTTATCTGTTGCTGTAGTTACAGGTGTCTCAGGGCTTTAATCAATGATTGTGTGAATGTAGCCAAAAAGGACTAGAGTTCTGTTATATTTTTTGTCAGGTAGAATTGTATAGTAGACATACAGTACATGAGCATTCAGTCAACTTCTTTAGTGAATGATGCTTTAAAGAAGATCTATGGGGCGAGATGAGAGAGATTTTGTCATTTATTTATCAATCTCTGCATTTTCTTAGCCATGGTCCTGGTTATCTTCACTCTAAAACTACATTTACCCTATGTTTCTATTCGTGAGGAACTTTTGATTTTATTTATGAGTCATTTGTTCCATTGAGGGTGTGTCAGACGGGAGATTTTGTCAGATTAGCTACATAAACCCACAAACAATTCCCCTCTTCCCCTTTTTCTCAGGAATGCACACAAGCGGGGGGAATTCTAACGGGGCACCCTGTGAGTTCCCCTTTCTCTATAATGGGACCTGGCACCACAACTGTCTGCCTGGCACTGAAGACAAGACACTGGACTGGTGCTCCACCACAGCAAACTATGATCAAGACAAGAAGTGGGGGAATTGTCTGAAGTATGGTAAGGTTTACATCCCTCCGCAGATACTGGGGTTTTTCCAGAGAGCAGCTGGAAAGTACATGTGACTTATTTTACAAAATTAAACTGTTCACTATTAGATGCTGTTTTATCCAGTAGTAACTAACAATGCTAATTAATCTAATTAACAATGTTAATTTCTTAAAGGGGGTCATATGATGCTATTTTAAAGATCATTATTTGGTGCAGACATGCTTTAATGTTTGCTGTTCTGTTGTAAATAAATCTTAACCAATGATTCCTAATTGCATCTACTTCCGGAAGGCCAAATAAAGTGCTTTTGCTTTCACACTGAAACACACAGTGTCTCCCTGACATGGCTGCATCACCACTACTGCTATTCCTGAAACCACGCCTTCATTCTTTGCGTGCACATTTGGGCGGCGTTATGCTAATATTTCCACATAGTGACGTAGACATGTGGGGGCGTGTTAGAATGAGCCGTTTTAGGTAGGTGTGGTTGACTCTTAACTTTTATAAAGAATATCTCTTTGGATTTGAGACTTAAGTCTTTGCAACTTTACAGATCTTCTTTATGCACCAAGAGCTTGTAACACTCCAAAGAGAAAGGAAAACTTGAAATCGCATCATATGACCCCTTTAAAATCAATTTAGGCAGAAAAAAAGTATTTATTAAATTTAATTCAATAACTTTCAATTAAAAAATACTTCTATTAAATTTAAAATACTTCATTTATGTTTAAATAAATAAATAAATAAGAGAGAGGTGTATTATAAAAATTTATTTTCTGTGGTGAGCGTGTCCCAGATACTGTCTGTGTCACATTTGCGCAGCACACTTTAGTGAACTATTTCCCTACAAACCCCAACCTGACCTACTTAACCTGCTAGGTTTTTACATGGAACTCATGCTGGTATAAGCTGCCCTTTTTGTACTATTCTGTTCTTGCTAAGCCATTTGAACTATTACCCCTGTTTGTTGTACATTCCTTTAATATGACTTATACTTTCTAAAGAAACATGGAAAAGATTGCAACACTTCAAAGGTCAGAGACAGAATGAAAGAATCACATATGCCGGAAGTAGGGCAGGAGACAAACAGATGGAGGTCTGTATAATGAAAGAATTGTAACTAACCCCCTATCCGTTTCTTTTATTTAGTGGAGGGATGTTCTACTTTATGGGAGAAAGACCCAGTGAAAGGACGCTGCTATCAGGTCGTATCCACAGCGGTGGTGACCTGGCACGAGGCGCGGGATGCCTGTCGTAGTCAAGGAGGAGATCTGCTCAGCGTCTCTAGCCCTCAAGAGCTTGAGTTCTGTAAGACTCAATTCTCATTTTCACTTCTGTTATGATTTTTAACCAGCTCTATAGCTGAACCCCCAATCTGCAGCTATAGTATTCTGCTCAAAAGTGTCAGTAAAAATTTTTGTTTTTGTTTTTTTGAAAGATGCTCTTCTGCTCACCAAGGCTGTTTTTTTATATCAAAAATACAGTAAAACAGTGAAATATTATTACAATTTAAAATAATTTTTACAATATATTTAAAAATGTAATTTATTCCTATTCTGTTTCTTGTTCTTTATCACAAATCCTACGTAATCTATGAAACTGCCTAAAAGGTATACTATTTATCAACTTTTAGGATGGAGAATTGTATTTCTGTCTGTGGGTTTTCTAAATATTGATGTATGTGAAAATCCTTCTTTATCTTTAGTAATTTCCAGGTCCAGAAAGTTAATTTTTCCTTATTATATTCTAAAGACAATTTCACATTAGAATTGACATTATTAAGATATTGATGAATTTAAATTAAATCTTCCTTTGACCCTGAAAAGAATAGAATAACATCATCAATATAACGTCCCCATCAACAATATTTGAGAGAAATAGGCCTTTTGTGTACATAGAAAAAGTCTTAGATCTTTGAGTTCAGCTCATGAGAAATGGGGGCAAAAACAAAAGTGTTGCGTTTATAATTTTGTTCAGTGTAAATAAGGATTTGTTCTAGAGTTCAATGCAAAAATCTTTTTCCCAGTTACCTAAAAATAAACCAGCATAAGAAGGGCTATAACATGCACCCAAAGCACATCCTTTTGCTTGCTTAAAAATCTTATCTTGAAAGACAAATATATTGTTGTTAAGGGTCCATTCTGTTAGATTTAATAAAAACTCATTTATTTGCATTTGTTTGAAATATATATATTTTTAGTCTTTATTGTCAGTTTTGATGAATTTAATATGTTCTTGTTTGAAAACACTAATTCTCTCTCCATAGCCACATTTTCAGTGTCCATTAGAAATCTTGTCTATCCATCAGCACCAACCTCAGCTGCTTATTTATTACTGTATTAACGACTGCAGTTGGATTTGGAATCGTAAAACTTGAATTGTAAAACAAGCTATGCATCTCCATCCATATTCTCTCATAATCATCAATACTGATGCACTGTAATTTTTTGAAATACCAATAGCATAAGTTCAGGGCCTCTGTGTGCCTGACCAATGGCAGCTGGTGGGAGTGTTAGGGAAACCTGTTTGGAAACACTCATTATTTTTAGTGCAGAATTACACATTTCAGCTTTAATTCACACTGATTTCGCAGCTAAAGCCTGGAATTCACAACACAACTTTTAATATCTGAACAGATTTGTAAAAAATTGGGCATCATACACTTACCAACTTTGTAATAGTCACAGAAGAAAAACTGGTCATCATACACTAAACGACTGAGGATCACATATTAGCAGATTTTAAAGTTGTTCCGATCACAACATACTCACACAGAAACGTGCGGCTTGTTGCTAGGAGACACATGACAAATGAAAACAACATGTGTTCTAAAATCGGCTCAAAATATCAAACATGTTGGATATCCTCCGACTGGATGGAATCAAAGTCTGAAGCTAAAAAATCAGAGTCTGTGACCATCATACACTACGCAATTTTCTATGAAATCTGTCAACCCAAATCTGCAAACTGGCTCTGACTTTTGGCAATTATCGGTGACTTCTCCAGACTGTAAATCGGGGCAAAAATCATGTAGTGTATTCCAGCCTTTAATATTCATTATTTATCTCCTTCCCCCTGCAGTTAAAGATCGGAAAGACTTGCCAAGTAAGCTGTGGATCGGCTTGAACCATCTGGACTGGATGCAGGGTTGGCAGTTGGCAGATGGATCAGCTTTATCTTTTGCCCCTTGGGAAACAGGTGATTTCAACTGGACAGTGTATTATAAAGAATCTTATAGTAGATTATTGTTTGTATTTGTATGTTTTAAAGCAATAGTTCAACCAAAAACTCAACCACATGTTCTGGCAAACGTCTGGAAGAGATGGAATCTCTGACATAGGAAATCAAACATTTTTCTTTTGGAACATTTTCCCTTTACAACCTGTACAACGTGACAGTTCTTCAGTTTCACAGTGATTTAGGTTTAGCAAATCAAGGAAGAGCAGTTCTCTTATCCTCAGATCTTTTATCTTCTCTGCTGTTCAACCACTGACAACGACATTTCTGTCGCTGTTTATGTGGCAGTGTGTGTATGGGTGTACAAGCATAGTTGTTTTGCTAGAAAAACAAACTGATGACTTGAATGGCATCTTTATGCAGTAGAGTCTCTGTGATGACAGCATTGTCTCTGACTGACAGTCAGCTGTGTTGATGTGGGCGGTTTGTCTCACTGCATGTGTGTGGTGTCAATGAAATGAACTGTGTCTATAAACACTTTTTATGCAAATGATTTGCATGCAGGGTTGGAGAAGTTACTCCAATACTGTAATCTTAAGCTTTTTTTTAGATTGTAATGGCATCAGTAGTTACTTTATTTGAACAGTAACCATGTTAATTGTCAACTAGTATTTTTGTTTTCCCATACAAATATTTAAACATTCTTAAATCAAGATGACTTTTTATTTTTTATGTCTTTATATGTGACAGATCTGAAAACAGAGGTATGGATTGGTCTTTTGGGTGATGGAACCACCTCAGTTTATGAATGGGTCGATAAAGTACCAGTGTCTTTCACATACTGGGCCAGAGCTCAACCTCCACCACTTCTACCAAATGCCACCCACTGTGTGTACTATGCAGGAGAGGTGTGTTTTTCATCATGTCAGATTTTAATTAAGCAATAACACATAAACAAGAGCGCTGTTCTGAATATCAGCACAGCTCTAATTTCTCTATGCATGTTTGCAGCATCATACGTGGTCTGTGTCTGACTGTGACAACCCGAGGGCTTACATGTGTAAGAAGAAGGGGATTGTGAATGAGAGTGCCCCAGAGGAAGGCTGCCCTCCAGACGGGGTGAGTGACCATCACTGACACACGACAGAGAGTCACTATTGAACAATTCACTGTAACTCCATGGAAACACATAGATCATATTTGTGCTTCATATTGTTGTTATTGCCATCCAGTTAGATTCCACTTGTGAATCTGATTCATGAATAAGCAGACATCTGTCTTTTCTTATCTCTAGAACTGGAAGAGACATGGCGACGCTTGCTATAAAGTGGACACTGAGCTGGTGTTCTATAAAAACAGCTGCCACATCACCATTAATAACAGGTAACTGTTAACACCATTCATTTTTGTAACTGACTTTAAAAAATTTACACTCAATCTTGATTAATAATAATAGTGAGCCATTAATAGAACTAATTTCTAATTTCCAAATTTTCCAGTAACATGAAGATATGTAATCCTCTCTCTAGATTTGAACAGGCCTTCATTAACAGTCTTCTGAAAGAGCTTATCAGCACTGAGGTGTTGTATTTCTGGACGGGGCTACAGGACACTAAAGGGTCCAGGCAGTACCAGTGGATCGGTCAGGATGGGACAGCAGACCAGGTCGCCTACACCAACTGGAAATGGCTAGAACCCGGTAATGCACATCATGGGATCGACTGTGGTTGTTCACTATCCTAATACATTTCTTTATTAGACAAGTGCAGACTTAAAAGTGTTTTTTTCTGGGTTACTGTGTATCTTTTTCATTGGTAAAGCAATACTGATTACTGGGAGGGAAAACAGTATCCTAACTTTTTAAATACCATAATAATTCAAAAGATTTTGCATTGAGTTTGAATGTGAATATGTGTTTCAGCTTTCCCTGGTGGCTGTGTGGTGATGTCTACCGGGCATCCTTTGGGCCAATGGGCTGTTAAGAACTGCACTCTGTTCAAAGCTGGCAATATCTGTAAGAAACCTATTAAATCAATGGTCCAACCCACCCCAGATCCAATTGTGCCCAATCCCAATGCTTCCTGTGCACCCGGATGGGTCTCGAGGGAAGGCCTAAAACACTGTTACAAGGTGTGTTAAGGTGGTGTTCATCTATAACAGAAGTTGAGTCAAGACAATGAAGACATTTCTTGTTATATCTAATCGACATCTGTTTAAATGTGTCTGCAGGTGTTTCACGGGGAGCGTTTGACCAGAAAGCGCTCGTGGGAAGAGGCGGAGCGTTTCTGTGAGGCACTAGGGGGTCATTTGCCCAGCTTCACTGAGGCTAAAGATATGCAAGTGTTACATTCCATCCTGAGAGACTCTATCAGGTACAGATAGGACAGTTTTTTTTTTTTACAACTCCCATTATCATATTCCCCCACATACCCACACACAAAACCAAGTGCTGTAAAATTTATTGACTTATATTTGTGCTGTTTGTTTCCCTATACAGTGATGAACGTTTTTTCTGGGTGGGACTTAATCGCCGAAATCCAAATAACAACAACAACTGGGAGTGGAGTGACGGGCGTCCGGTGAGTCACTAACATATGTTTTCTGAACAAAATAAAGACATAATTGTATTATGATCGGAGCCATCATTTGCTCCTCTGTTACTTGATTGACTAAAGCTAATGTGTGAAATGTGTAGGTGTTGTCATTTGTTTCTTTTGCTTGGTAACAGGTCTCCATGATGATCTTTCCTGATGAATTCAATGAAGATGACGCCTATAACAGGGATTGTGTTGCGTTTAAGGTGTGGTGAGCATTACATCACAACACTGCATTATTGTGCAATATTATCTCAACAAACAACACATGAAATGACACATGCTATTTTGGCTGGACCAGTCTAGTACAAAAAAAAAAACATAATTACAAGTTTAAAACTTTAGTCACTTCATTGTTGGAGATGGTTGGATAGCTGTACATATTTCTGCTTGAAATGTTAATATTTATATGATTTAAAGTGCCCCTATTATGCTATTTGAAAGCTTCATAGGTTTTGGGAGTCCCTAGCAACAGTTTTACATGCATGCAAGGTCAAAAAACACTTTCATTTTCTTATAATATGTATTTAATTTTCTCAACGACTCTCAAACGATTAGTTCAGAGATTAATCTTTCCAAACCCCTCCTTTGCATGAGGCTACTCTGCTCTGCTTGGTCCGATGACCCAGTCTGTTATGATTGGTCTACTGCGTGCAGAGCATGTCGGAAAAGGAACACCCATCACCAGTACTGGAATACGGCTTATCAATAATACATCCTGTTATAATAATAATAGTGCTCCACTCTGTTCTAAAAATAAAGAATCAGTGGGGAAAAAGTTGTTTTGCACTTATGTTAGTGAACCGGACACAGCTTGGTAACAATAATGGCATATGCGTTAGCCGAACACAGAGAGAGAGTACTGATGAAGCACTGCCGTTTGTAAACCAACGTATTGCTCCATCCTTTATCATGACTCCAAGAAATAAGAACGGCAGACATTCTATATTAATCGACACATTTCTAGACAATAGCAGGCCCACAGCTGATTAGCAGAACTATAACGTGAGTTAGCCAGAGAACTACAGCTGCACTGAGTGTATACACAACACACAAAACTACATATTTTGCACGCTCGACAGAACATTAAAGCAGTAATTATTAATCGTACGTACAGGTTGTGATTCGGAGGAGCAAGCTGGTCCAAACAAACTGGGCACTGACCCATGTTTCAAAGACAGCTGGTTTACGATTGGAGAAGCAGTCGTCAGTGAAATGATGGAACACAGCAAAAGTTTGGGATCATACTGCTGTGGTATCGTAGTAAAGAGGAATTTTAACCACTGATTCTTCACAACTTCATCCATTGGAAGTGAAAATAAACCGAATTAACCACATGAACGAGCATTTGAGGTTTGTTTTTTGCGGGACGTCCAAGCAGAACGGAACACAGCAAAAGTTTGGGATCATACTGCTGTGGTATCGTAGTAAAGAGGAATTTTAACCACTGATTCTTCACAGCTTCATCCATTGGAAGTGAAAATAAACCGAATTAACCACATGAACGAGCATTTGAGGTTTGTTTTTGCGGGACGTCCAAGCAGAATGTAGACATGCATTATGCAAATGTATTAACTTGTGACGTATGAACTGCAGAAATGGGACTCGAATTTAAAACGACTTGTTTCAGCGATTCAGAGTTGACTCTTTCTTTTGAGAGACAATAAATACAGAGTTCTGGCATGAAACTACATGGCGCAGTCCGATAGGTCTAGCTCAGTCTGACCTGCTTTATTTATGATGCACTTTCAGCTTTACAACTTTGCAGACTGTTTACATTCACATACAGCTACATTACACACTGCATGCAAGGCAATTTTCAAAAATCCATAATGGTGCACTTTAATTTTATATTACAGTGAGTCAGACACAGATTCATTTGTCATTGAGCATTGCTATAAAACGCTAAAATAACAATAAATGTCATTTAAACAACCTAAAATGTTATATTAAACACTAGAATGTGTTTGATCACAAAAATAATAAGAAACATAACTTTAATTTAATTTAATAAGAAACATAACTTAATTTTATTTAGGCTTTTCTCGCTGTAAATTACAAGATGACTGAGTATTTACTTTAAATTTACCGTTTAATTTTACTGTAAAATTAAATGGTATTAAAGGTTTTACAATATTTGTTAATATGACTTACATTTACCTAATTAACAGGTTGTTACTGTAGTATTTTATTCTTTTTTTTCATTAAAATGACAGAAATTATAGCATAAATTTGCAATTTCAGTATTACATAAATGCAGCATTATTGTTACTGAATACATGTGTTTGATGTTTGTTTCATTCGGACATGTAAATGTTGGGGCAGTAATTGACACAAAACAGCCCATCACTGATAGCCAACTGCCAGTCAATAATCAGGAATCTAGAATAGTCACAGCATGACCTACATACAGCCTTTACCTCCTATTTGGGAGCAGGGAGAGATGAGAAATGAAGATCAGATCGATAGATTGTCATCAAACAGGATTTAAATACTCACAAACATATCAGAGTTTGTTTTTTTTGTGTGTGTGTTGTATCATCAGACTTTGAAAGGAACCTACAAGCCGTTTCTCTTCCTCCTGTTCCATAAAGTTCCTCCACGGTCTTTTTATCCCAGCACCTTTCACTGCGATGCCAAACTGGAGTGGGTGTGTCAGATACCACGAGGTAAACAACACCCAACACTTTTTTAAGACCACTTCCTGGCAACGTTTTCACAGTTGTTAATACTTATTTATATAGATTCTATATTTACTTTGCAAACAACAAATTAGTGGAAATTGAGTTTGAAAAGTTTATTCCACTTCATTGTATTTGTATGCACTGCAAAAGAGTGACAAGTATGTTAAGAATTTCACCTTTTATGTCCCATGGAAAATTTTGCTGATTTCATGGTCTTTGGATCATTCTCTAGGTCACACACCAAAAACACCAGAGTGGTACAACCCAGGTAGAGCATTTATTTCAAATCAAGTGCCCAAATACGTCATGGATTATTTGTGTGGAAATTAGTGACATGTTTTGTGTTTCACTACTAACAGATGGGCACCATGATACATCAGTGTTTATAGACGGCCAGGAGTTCTGGTTTGTAACAGAGCCAAAGTTGCCCTTTGAGGAGGCTGTCTTGTACTGCAGCAGCAACAGCAGCAAACTCGCCGCACCCGACACCCTTAGTGCCGTACACCGCCTACAGGAACATCTTTTTGAGGTACCAAAGGGGGCAGATGTTTCTATAAACCCTGAATTACAGGGGGTTTGGGGAGGTCCGACTCTTTAAATTAAAGTCTGCACCTCCACTGAACGTCAAAACAGAATGTTGGTGAGGTCTTAAGATGAAGCCTGCACATAGTGACAAGTAAATTCATAAAACATAAGTACACCATAAAAAGCAGATTTATTCATGCATAGACAGAGTGCAGAATGTCACTCTCAAAAAATATTAAGAATTTTCTTTTTAATTTGTTATTGTTATTTAAAATGTAATTTAAAGCTATTTAAAAGTAATTAGTTAAACGTTTTTAATTATTTAAAAAGTAATACACTGCTGTTCAGTAAAGACAGTACTGTTCAAAGGTTTAGCATTTATTTAGCAAAGGCTGCATTTATTTGAATACAGTAAAAATAGTAATATTGCGAAACATTATAACATTTAAAATAACTATTTTCTATTTTAATATATTTTGAAATGTCATTTTTTGCTGTGATGTCAAAGCTGAACTGTTGAAAACAGTTGTTCTGCTTAATATTTTTGTGTAAACTGATACTTTTGTTTAGCATTGTTTGCTAAATAGAAAGATCAGAAGAACAGAATTACTGGCACTGTTTATCAATTTAAAGAATCCTTGCTGAATAAAGTATTAGTTTTTATTTTGAAAAATCTTACAGACCTCAACCCCCTTTTTTGAACAGTAGTAAATATGTATTCAGTTTGAATGATAAAACTTACCCATTTTAACTGAGTACTGCTAAATCAGATCCAGGCTGAACCAGGCTGTCTGCAAATTTACTGTCTTTTTTATTTATTAAATAAATAATAGCATTGGAATAATATAATAATGATTTGTTAATCATAAATACAATGCTGAAACTGAGCATGCCATTTTACCTGTTGCACGTGGAAGTTGTGTTTTTATCTATAAAAATGCTAGGCTGTGGATGCATTATTATTGTTGCTAGATTGAAAAATAATATATAACTTTTTTTTTTTTTTTTTTTTTTTTTTC